CACTGGGAGCGGGGACAGTCCGCTATTTCTCACGAGCGAGCATAGATCTATCATGATCGGTGATGATCCTACACTGGGAGCGGGGACAGTCCGTTATTTCTCACGAGCAAGCAGAGATCTATCATGACCGGTGATGACCCTACTGGGACCGGGAGATGGGTGACAATCACCGTGACGAATCTCAACGCGTCGTAAATTCGGATGAACGTTACAAACGTAGCGATCTTGCCACAGGGTTAGGACAGACTACTGTATCCCTTAGCCTGTGGTTGCGTGTTTGTAAGTCTACAGCCAGCGCACCAAGCGGAAGTGAACTGAATCGTGCATGTTTTCCAGAGAGATTTTCCATTCGACTTTCTAAATATGGTTTTTTATAAACATTTAACCCAATAAATAACAAAAAGCAAAGTGTTAGAATCGAACCTGATGCGTAGGAATGAAGCACGAAAAATTTCAGCCGGATTCGTACACGCGCCTAGAAGTTATGCAGGAACAAACAGAACGACGCTACTCAAATTATTATATAGATTACAATAATGTTATTAATATATACAGCTCCGTGAATGATTGTTATGATTGCAAATTAAGATGGCCGACAGTTGGCGCCATCATGTAGGAGAATACTCACACAGCGTTAGCTTCTCGCCGGACTCTGGAGGAAGCACGAAGACGAGTAACGTCATTCCGGAGATTAAAAAGCACGGTATCAGCAGGTTAAACAGGTAGTACAGCACGCGTCGGCGTATCACCACTGTAAACGTCACGTCCGGATACGGTTCCGGGCAGCAGGCGTACTTGAGGACACTTCTCTTACCAGGTATCTCTGCGAACACAGGTGTGACGTTCGGGTTTGTATAAGACGGCACAGGTGACGTTAGCGTGATACATGTATCGCACAATTGCTACGTTTAGGCGAGAGGTAGATCGGTCGACGCGTTCGGACCATATACGTGATAGAAATCTACGTAAACATTTATCGACATACGTACACGAATTATCGTTCGTGTTTTGTGCTAATATACTCCACTTTTAACCAGATCATCGCAAATCTTAACGAACGTATGTGCAAAAAAGTTTGACCTTGATACTGCGCCAAAAATCATGCAGTGTCATGTAGTACATGTAATGGCTAATGGCTGTGCTAACTTTATTAGTCTATTTGAGTCTGCGGCAAACCGACAAGGCCGCCTATAAATCTAGCCGATGAACGTTACAATCGTCTCGTAGACCATATCGCAAACATTTCGTCGGATCGCTCAATTTCGAAACAAATTTACGAGAGTCAATATGCGGACGAACATCGCGGTCGAACGTTCGCGTAATGGCGGCGTCTATGTATACCGATGAGATCCCACTCGCCGTTCTCTATGAAGGAGTCGGTGTCACCCTGATCCATTAATAGTTGGAGGTCGACTCGGTAGCCGTCGTACGTCCACGAGCCGAACTTCATGATGCATCTGTCGTTCAGATAAAAAAGCAAGCGATTATCATTAGTTAAACGACAAGGAAAATAACGGCTATACGCGAGAGACAAGTCGAGCAAACGCCGTTACGCGGACAGATATATAGATAAAAGGACTCTAAAGCTGCCATCATCTACTATATAATAGTGGAAAGAGCCGAAGTGTCGTTTTACGTATCTCCTCCGAAACCGTGCCGCGTGGGCTCGCGCGAATCGAGCTGGGGCCCCTTCTGGGCGTCGCGACTAGATTCCGCTACGTTAGAACGCGATTTTTCCATCGTAAACTGACTTTTTGAGGCAATTTTCTAAAAAGTTATGTGCCCGAAGAAACTTCGGCATTCATCGGCGCAAACCCGCACCAACTTTTAAGATCGCAAAATCCGCATGCGCATGCAGTCCAAGCAGAGTACGTGAATCACCTTGTGATTGACGTGCTCTCATCGCATTTAATTAGGTGGGTCCTTCACCTAGCATAGCAAGCCACACTAAACGCACGTACGGCACGCACGCACGCCCACCGGCACGCGCACACCAAAGCCATTGCGGCTGCGGTGTATAAACAGCCAATCACTGCCGCGCATAGCTGTGAGGCGAACATTTAAGACAACCCCCCAACGAGAGACGGCTGCAGTTGTATGTGTATGTGTGTGTGCGTCGGCGTGTGTGCGAGTGCGCGTGTGCGTGTGCGTGTGCGCGCCCGTCTGTGTGTAAATGTCGTATGTGTGTGCGTGGGTGCGTGGGTGCGCGTGTCATTGTGCGTGCGCATGCCCGTATGCGTGTGAATGCGATGTGTGCGTGCGTGCGTGCGTGCGCGCGTGTGTCATGTATGTGTGCTCACGTGTGTGCAAATATTTCACAACGGGAGGTGTAACCGTGTCCGCCGCCGTCCACTGACTTTCAAGAAAATATATCTTTCCAAACTACTCAATACATTTTTTTTAAAGAATGATATAGCCATACTAAATGCAGCTTAAATTCAAAGGTAGGCCTATCTATAATATAATAGTAGAAAGAGCCGAAGTTTCGTTTTCCGTATCTCCTTCGAAACCGTGCCACGTATTCGTACGCGAATCGAGCTGACGCCTCTTCTGGACGTCCCGAATACATTCCGCTACGTTAGAACGCGATTTTTCGATCGTAAAGTGACTTTTGGAGGCAATTTTCTCAAATGTTATGTGCCCGAAGAAACTTCGGTGTATAAACACTAATCACTGCCGCGCACAGCTGTGAGGCGAAAATTTAAGACAAACCCCAACGAGAGACGGCTGCAGTTTTATCTGTGTATATGTGTATGTGCGTGTGGGCGTGTGCGTGCGCGTATGTATGCGTGTGTGTGCGTGTGCGTGTATGTGTGTGCGCGCCCGTGTATATAAATTGGTATGTGTGTGCGTGCGCATGCCCGTATGTGTGTGAATGCGGTATGTGTGTGCGTGCGCGCGTGTGTGAATATATTGCTTTCATTCTGTCACAGTTGCGCTGGCCCAAGCTAGAGGCTCTCTATACAGAATTAATCCCGTATAAATAAAGGAATTCCAGGATAGGTTTTATCGCAGTGTCATCTATCAATGCGTCGAAAAACGTGACTATAATTAATTGCGGGTAATGTAGCGCGCGTGTGAGCTCAGTTGTAAAGTATTTAATTCGCAGGTATATCTAAAATACAAATCTGTATTAAAGTGAATATTTCACCAATTTCAACAACTTGAAAATTACCATACATTTAACATTTACGCCGTTATATCACATAAAATAGCAATTGACATGTTAGAACGCAGCCATATTTTGTTATTTTCCGAAAATTTAATTTGTAAATAGCGACAGACACAACTGCGTCTAATTCTGACAAATATGACACAATCTTTTTCATGCAGTCTGGTGCAGATTTTCGGCAATAGCTACAGTCTAGGGAGAGCCCGCAGTATGTAGGCCGTCGAAGTTTGTGACCACCCGCTAGTCATCGCTTTATTTATTTGTCTCGTCAAATTTCCACTATCTTAGGAAAACTTCCGCCATCACCTATTCAATCGATGGAAAGCACTTAAATTCAGTGTGCCGTTTGCTGTTCGCGGCCCGCCTGTCTGTAGGTCGTGCGGTTGCTTCTGCCCGCCACAACATATTCTGTAATATAGCAGCCGCTCCCGTCGTCACGTGTCGCATGCGTTACTGCATGCGTTATGCTGCGCATGCGTTAGCTACTGTTCACGCGTGGTTGCTCGTGTGAGCGCCTGTGTCCTCATAAATCGGTAAATATCTTATCGACAAAAGCCGCTTTTTGCGATACGTAACCGAGCTCAACTGGCTGCCGTTCCCGGAAAGAAAGAGGTCTATTTATAATTCATAGTATTTGTATATTATGTACTTAGATGCATTTGGAATATTTGGATAATTTTTTGTCAAGCGTCTGTACCGTATTGCGTCGCTTGCAATACAGTTGTCATAAGAGATTGAAGAGTGTTCCTGTGACCACCAAGCAACGATGGATGTAGTATTGATATAAACTCTCTCATTGACAATCACCCCCTAAATGAATCATCTATATGGCGAAGGGCATGCAGCGTAACGAAATAACGCGTACGGTCGCGGTCTGCTCATTCCTGGTTAGAAACGCATTTATAACATGGCGGCATCATCATTTCACAGATTACTCGATGTTAGACGTAATGCGTCTGCAAATGCTGCATCACCTTGAAGAAACGCCAGACGCGATCGCAAATGTTTCTCCGTCGACAGTTGCGTCCTTTGCGCGATATGCAAATCACGGCCGCCATTTGAGAGTGGCTTCGCCACGGCAGTTTATGAAACGGTGTGCGATGTGGTTGATGGGATTATGTATGAAGCTGCGACGCACTTACAAATACGGGTTATTGGAGAAATCGATGGAGGATTTAAACGCATTTAAACTATTTTGATTTTTTTCGCTGACAGACAGAATATCAGGGAGAGAGTATGGGGAGTTAGTTGTAGAGTTTCAATGTGTGTAATTATGTGTGCGCTCACGGGCAATTAAGGCTTTCCATTTAGTAACGAATTTTATATTATTTTTAATTAAACTATAAATTAGTCGTGATTCGTAATTAGCGTGATAGTTACGTCAAGAAAGACCTTATTACGATATTAGGTATGGTTAATTGATGTTATCAGTTTGGTTGTTTCGCATTTATATTCGACTAATTAATATGATGAGACCATTTTTGCAACGCGGTTATAAAAAATTGTAATTACTCCCTTTTTACTGATTTTACTCTATGAAGCCGTATCCTATATCCGAATAGCACACCACACAAACACACACACGCGCGCGCACGCACACAAGCACGCACGCACGCACGCACACACACACGTGCAATAAGGATAGTAATTCTTAAATCAGTGAATAGAATTGCGTTTTTATGAAAGGCGTAAGCATAATAAGTGAGGCATCGCCGTAATATAGCTTTAGCGTATATTATAGAATGCTGCATGGTAAAGTAAATTATTGCTTACCTATTATTTATTACTATAGATTATTGCAGGCAGACTTACTTTTATCTATGCTATCGGTGACACTATATCATAACGTAGGTTAATGGTGATAGTGTGCAAAAAATGATGAGTAAGTTGCAGAACCGTTTAGTTTTTATGGAGTAAACGGACGAAGTTTGTCTTCTGTTTGTCTTAATGTACTTGCTTGACCCGGGCCCCGTTGTCATTATGGCAATTGCAAACAAAGCGTGACACGGTTGGCGGAAATCTGCGAGCTGATTGGCTAATTCTGGTTTCCGTGTTTGAACAAATTCTGTCGTTGTATAAATTAAAATTACTTTGGCCTAAAATCAGGCGTAGTGTAGATAAATTAAATAGATAGATAAATAGTATAGATTAATGACACAAGAAGAACTACGAGAATAAGAGAGAGAGAGAGAGAAAGAGAGAAGAAAATAGTGGCTAACAGTGAACTTATCGACGCCTGATCAGTCTGTTGTCGGCGAAGATCAACACAGCAAATCGATAAAAAAAAGGCAGAATTACTGAGGAATTTCTTACCGTCCTTTCACTATCAACAGCGCCATCGGTTTCACGCCACCAGTGCGCGTGCACCGTGCATAGCGAGGCCCTAAAACTCAAACTATACGACAATGTCATGCAGCAGTTAACCTGCTGTTAATCGGTGACTGCCCGCTAGTCCGAAGGCTCGCTAGTCCGAAAACCGCTGTTAATCCACCTTCGCGCGCGATCAACATAAGTTTGGCCGCAGGCCGCGTATGCGCAGCAGGTCTTACTAGAAATTTGAGTTGAAAATTAAAATTGATCGCAAGAGCGAATTGTTAACGAGGTGAAATTGTCGTACGAAGTTTCGACATGAATCATCGTCGAGCCTGCGGCTTTTCGACGATGTTGCTTTGTGCGAGAACGCAGCGTTGCATGCTGTGCATCTGTCACCGTAGAACGAGAACGCAATACGAGAGGAGCTTAATGGCCTCGTCGCCGAGCAACCCCCTGAAATGCTGCGTCTTAGTTCTTAGGGCGGCTTCGCTTTGTCGGATTCGCTTTGTTGTGAGATTTTCTTGTCGACTCCGAGCGCGTGAGGTAGAACTGCGTAAGACATTTCTATCGCTAAGATGAGTCGAGCAATGATGAGGATCCCCTGGGAGCCTCGCCTGCGCGCAAGCGTGTATAGCATATGGTCAATATTGGACAGCAGCGAGTCGGAAATAGTGTACTAACAAAAGCATCCCGAATGCTCTCGCTCGATTTATTTTCTCAATCAACGCTCATCATTTGATCGACGGCGGCGATGAATAACATTCGTCACACAAACCACACACGATTTAAATTCGTCGAAACCCACGGTTGGTTATATGGCGGCGGGGGCAATAAACGTTTGGAAAGCCGTGCGAGCGTTCTGGCATTTACAGATTTGATGTAGATTTTGACAGCGTTCTTGATTTTACACGTCGTTTTTGCTCGGGCCGGAACGGAAGAAAATCAAGTTGGAAAGTGTAAACTGTCAAGAAT